CGTTGCATGAGAACGAAAATAAAAAGATCTAATAGTTGTGGTTCTTCATGTACACAACAACGAAGAAAGAATGATGAAGTAGAAACGATGAAGGCTGAGATTTGTGGATTGAAAACAGCTCTAAATCATGTGTTATCTATAATGAAGAAAAGATTTCCTGAAGATGAATTAAGTAACCTAATCATAGGACAGGTATTAATATTCACCATTTATTATAGTGACTTCACAAATGCCCATTATAATAGCGTACACACCTATGCTTATATAATTCTGAAATTATGTTTTTTAACTTCTTAACATTGTAGATACCTGAAGGAAATAGCGCCCCACATGTTCCCCCGGATGAAAACAATCGTTCTTCTGAGTCAAGTCATCAAATGGAAGAAAGTGAAATATAATCTGGTAATGTTTTTTAATAATTTCTTGAATATAGTAATGTTTAGTTCGACAAATTATGATATTTTGGTAATCATTCTTTTGAAGGGCTAGCCTTGACCTTGTTTACTAATATTTTGGTCATGTATATGCCAAGTATTCTGAAAACACAATATATTCATAAATATTGGTATAACAGAACTGCTTATATTGTTGAAAAGCTCAAACAGGGCCTTCATTTCTTTCACTGTAATTGCAAATACAAAAAAAAAGATGCATATCTTTATCATCCGAAAACAGAAGTATTTCAAACAAAGTAAGAGTATAATAGTGTGGTACTTCATCTTCTTACATGAAAGAGCAGTCCATTTTCAGTTCATCTTTTTTAATCATGCAGGGTATTCTGGAGTCATTTTTCTTGTGAAACATTCCCAGTTCACCCTTTGAGTCATAATTCTATTTGAGTTGTTAACTTATTCTGATGAAAAAAATGCTCTATTGCGATTCTAAAAGTATAAAAAAATAGGCTATTACACTTCATATTCCTACATATTAAAAAATGACTTGATATCATTTAATCCTATTGCCATTGAGTTCTTTCCTATTGGTATTGCTCCATGTATTTATTGATTTTTAACTCTGTGCAGGTACTCAGTGTCCTCTATTTCACCATCCAGAGTATATATGGGGGTATGCTATTTATACTAGTTAAGTGCTTCATTTTAGGTTTCACTTTTATTCAGAAAATAAATTCAAAGTGTTGTGAATTTTGTAGGTTTTCAGGATTTGATTCAATATATAACAAGTTCTGCATTTCGAGTGTTCCAAGGATGAAGAAAATCAGACATGGAACCTGGGAATTAGCAAACTGCTCAAAGTGTTATATTTCAAATACAAACATAATTGCATTATAATGACTTGACTTGGATTGTAAAAGACATGACTTGGATTTATGTTTTATCAACAAATTCAATATTAGTACTTGATATTATATTGGTTGAGTATAGATGTTTTTCAGCATATAAAGAAAACTGGTGTTATTATGAAAAATACATTGAATGGTGTTTTTTTATTGCAAATTATAATTTTATTTTGGAAATGTGGTGTTTGTGTTTGTAAATATCAAGTAATTATTATTGCTTCATATAACAGGACAATAGCAATGGTAAATTAACCGTTGCTATAGCAAAAAGTTATGTAAAACTATAACACGTCTATACTAACGGTAAATTCAATTACTAACGGTCATTAGTTTGTTGGTACAAGTTTATAAGCTATTCCCATGGGTAAGAAATATGTTGGTGTTGGTCTATACCGACGGAACGTATACTGACGATAAAGTTTATATGGGAATAGCTAGTATTTCCGTTGGTATAGCTAATTGATCTCTATACCAACAATTTTTATATCTATACCAACGATTTTATTACCGTTGGTAAAAGGCAGTTTGTTTGTAGTGAAATGCTAGAACATTATGATCTGAACATTTTACTCTATCACTTATAAGACTCATAGTTTTACATGCCTATAGATCATGTCCAGTAACTATTAAAGTTTGTCCACATTAAAGACATTTCTATTCAAATACACAATTTCCACGAATAATTCACCAGAAATGATGTCAAAACTTGAAGCACCCCAAATAAAAATAATTAACTCGACCTATTTGGCCACTCATAAATATCACTCTCTCTATTCCTTAAAACCTTGCCACATTTGACTTTTTTTTGTTAATGACGGTAAACTTTGGCTTGTTATTTTGATTTAATATTTTGTGTGAATGTTATAATTTCATACATTTACATAAGTATTTTTAAGAAATGAACATTTTCATATCATATTACTTTTGTATACAAATATACACCATTGGTTAAAGTTTAATATAATTGACTATGAAGTTGACAAAGTTTTAAGGGATGGATATATAGGACGTAAATTTTATTTGTTGACTACATAATAATTAATGTTAAGTTTTTTTTTTAACTCCAGGGGTCTGGAGGAGGGGGCTGGGGGTGCCTGGAGTAATCAGGGCTGAAACTCACTCCATTGAGTTTCAAACCCTTGTGTGCATATCGGATTTCGAACTCGAGACTTCCCACTAGGCACGCTAACCTGACAACCAGCTGGCTAGAATGCTTAGTTAATTAATGTTAAGGTTAAAGTTTAACATAAAAAGCTACGTACTTCCTCGTTCCAAAATCATTTGATTTATACTTTTCTCACTCGATATAGTTTTTTATTATTCTCTTATTTTGATTCAAAATTGTTTCATACTCCCTCCGTCCCTTAAAACTTTGTCATTTTTACTTTTTGGGATGTCCCAAAAAACTTTGTCACTTTCCCTTTTAATCAATTATTTTGTGGTTTCTGTTATTTCTCTGTCCTGTGCACAAATCTCAACCACACATTTTTTATTTTATTATTCTCCGTGCCGGTCAACTTTGGCAAAGTTTTAAGAGACGGAGATAATATAAAATTTTGTTTTTTTTTGCGATTAAATAAACCTTTTAATTTTGATTGTAAATTTTGACATCGTTAGCTAGAAAGATTTGACTATCATCCATCAACCATAAAAATCACAAATTGCACATAAATTATGACAATAAAAGTAAGTCAAATACACATTTTCTTTGTGTTTAGATATCTTTTTAGTTCATACAATACATTGTGATACATTTTTGTTTTAGATATGATCCTCGTATTTTTTGTTTTTCATCCCTCTAATATATATTATTATATTTTTAGTCACTTTCTAGCTCCATGACATTCTTCTGTTTAGAACAAACTAATAATGCTTGTTGCATGACTCTATTAGAAATTTAGAAATTCATCGTTTTATAACTTTTCGGAGACCAAAAATGTTTTTGTTTGGACTAATTTTACTGGCAGGCAAGACTAGAGGATACACAGATCATACAATAGTACTAAAATAGATAGCATAAAACCGATGTTTAATAGACCAGACAAGAACAATTCAGACAATCTAGACCAGACCGGAGGTAATCAAACCAAACTAGAAAATTTTAGTCCAATAAAAAATAATCTAGCACTGGAGTTAAAATATTGTAGAACTAATTATTCACGTTTTCTAAATATGTTGTAATGATCCACTAGAAAATTAAATTAAGATTTATTGACACGGCAAAGAATTATTTAAAATCTATTAGCTGGTAAGAATTGTTTGGAGATATCTCCTCTTATCCGATTAAAATAGAAGGATTTTTCTTGGAATTCTTGGTTGTGAATGACACGACAGGACTTGGCCTTTTTGAAGTGTTGCAAAGTGTGTTAAAATCTCTTGATCTTGATATTGATAATGTTAGAGGGCAAGGATATGATAATGGATCAAACATGAGAGGTACACATCAAGGTGTGCAAAAAAGACTCTTGGATGTAAATCCTAGGGCATTCTATACTCCCTGCGGTAGTCATAGCCTTAATTTGACCTTGTGTGACATTGCTAATTGTTCTTGAAAAGCAAGAGATTTTTTTGGAGTAGTGCAACGAATCTACACACTCTTTGCTAATTCTACAAAAAGATGGCAAATTTTAAAAAGCAATGTCCAAGGATTAACTCTAAAATCCTTATCAACCACTCGGTGGGAAAGTAGTGTGGAAAGTGTCAAAGCAATAAGATTTCAAATCAGTGACATTCGAGAAGCATTGCTAGAATTGGCCGAGACAGACAATGATTCTAAAATACAAAGTGAAGCTAGATCCTTAGCTATAAATGATCTTTGTAATTTTGAATTTTTGCTTGCTACAGTTATTTGGTATGAAATATTAAATGGTGTTAATTTGGTGAGCAAAAATCTACAAGCAAAAGATATTCTTCTTGATGTTGCTATTGTTGAAGTCAAAGAGCTAATTTCTTTTTTTGAGAAGTATAGAGAAACTGGTTTTTCTAGTGCTATGCATGTGGCTAAAGAAATAGTCAGTGAATTGAAAGTTGAACCAATGTTTCCTCAGAAGCGTGTAATCCGCAGAAAAAAAACAATTTGATGAGAGTGTTGGTGAATCTTCTGTATCATCCACATCAACACCAGAAGAGTTGTTCAGAGTGGAATATTTTGTCTACATAGTTGGTCGATCTATTGGCTCATTGACATGGAGGTTTGAGCAATACAAAGTATATGAAAATATGTTTGGGTTTTTGTTCAATTCTGAGAAGTTACAATCTCTCTGATAAGTATAAAGAAGGAGTATATGTCACGAGGCTAATCTTAAAGCTTCTGCATCTACTATATTCTGGCCCATCCATGATTAAAAGAACTGGCAATCGGGGTAAGCCGTACACATATGAATGGGCACATTGAACATTGAACGATAAACACTTATAGCAACAATCTATAAATATTGGAGGCTGGACTGCTGGAGCAACAATCTAGTGATACTTTTAACTTAGACTACTTCGTCTCGGTGGATTTTGCACTCTTTGAATTAAGTGAGAAATAATAATAATAAAAATTGTATGATTGAAGTTTGTGCAAGAGAGAGAGAAATGAGCAAAATCATAAATTAGTTACTTTAATGAGAAGGTGGCAAAGTTTTTTAAGAAGTAAAACGAGAAATTTGCCAAAGTCCAACGGGGCGGAGGGAGTAGCATTAACGAGGAATGGTAATACCTCTGTGTCAAAGGCCGAGGAGGAAACTGGGGAGGAAGCAACAGGTGAGTCACCACCAAGTAAAGTGGTGTTGAAAGATGATGTTGATGCCCCCAAGTGATAATCTCTGTTCCTCACTACCCTCAAACTCAAGGGCTGCAGTCCCAATGGCCACCCTTCTCCCTGCATTGCATCCCAATCATCTCTTTCAAAAACTTAAACCATTCAAACAAGAAATGATAAAACAGAGTCTACCTGCTGAGCCATAGGAACCGAGGTCATATCTTGTCTTTGAATGATTTTCGATCAGTTGGATTCTGTGGCATTGGTTGGGACGTAGGTGAAAGCCTTATTTAAAAAAGAAAAGTGAATCCCAATCAGTTATATGATTGGATTGGCCACCTAAGTTGTCAGTGGACAGGCATACCAAACAAGCTAAGGTGAATTACTGAATTCAGTCAAATGGAAAAAGGGCAATAAAGGACCCATCCTTCTTTAAACCAACTCCATTGATTCGAAATTAGAAAACACGAGAATAATTTCGTGTGGGAAAAAGTGATGATAAAGAAATGCTCAGAAACACACATCACATAACTGATTTTGAAAACAACTTTGCATATATTTATTTTATACTACATTACTACCTCCGCCCAGTGGCGGACTCAGAAAATCGGAGTCACGGGGTCCCTACCTTAATGTAAGTCTAACCAATAAAAAATTAAAAAAATGTAATTATATAATATTAAAGTAGCATAACATTTCATAGTTAATGTACATCATCAAAATATTAAGAACTTTTATCAATTCAGGACCTTATAGATTGATAAATTATAAATTCGGTACCTGAAAGATGAAATGTATTAATATAGGACCAGAAAGATGAAAATTATCAATCTAGGATCTAAGATTTCATAGATTTTGATTTATTTATTTTTTTATTAATTCCTTTGCTAATTTTTGATAAACTTTTTTCCACAAAAGTTTATTACTTTAATAAAAATAAATAATATTTAAAAATTTTAACATAAAAATAATAATAATTCATGACAATATAGGTCCGAGATTGATAGTCTTCAATCATTCAAGTCCTCAATTGACAATTTTCATCATTTGAGTCTTATATATATAAATATCTTCTTTCAGGTCTCAGATTGATAATTCATTTACCTTTCAAGTTTTGAATTGATAAAATTCCAAATATTAAAGTAGTACAACGTTTCATAGTCCCTACTATGACGCAACTCGTCTTGAACATTAGGATGCAAATCAACAATTTTTTTCTCAAACCAGGATAAGCTTCTAAATATTCAAAATAAACATGTTGATCATGTGTACTGTCACTCAAATTAATTTCATATTCACCAATTATTTTATTCAATTCTTCACTTAATAATGAAAAATCATAATAGAAATTTTAATAATTAATTGAATTATGTAAAGTGTAAAGTTGAGGATTTTTAAAAAAGGCAGAAGGATGTAGTTGTGATCTTTTACAATAATAAATCAAAAAAAGAGGAATAGGAGTGAGAGGTAATCGATCATTGCACCTCTACGAAAAGTAAAGGTTTTTAAAGCCTTTCCTCCGTTGCTCTGCTCCATTCTTTGGGATGTATATTTGTTTTTGTGTTATATATACATTTATAAGTACATTTTAAATAAAATATATAAAATATATAAGTGTTTTTTGGGATGTACGCGGGGTCCTGGGACCCCGTGGGACCCTTAGTGGGTCCGCCCTTGCCTCCGCCCCACCGATAGTGGGAAGGAAGGAGTTAAGAAAAATGAATTTACGCGGTTGATATTAATAAATAAAGTAAGAATGATTTAGAGTCACAACAAAAAATTGAGAGTCGGAATTGGAATTTGGGGTTTCCGACTAGAGGAAGGGCTTCAAAAATAAATACAATACCTCCAGTCGGAATTGGGGGTTCCAACAAGAATACACATCAATCTTAAATTCAGTTATACCATACCATACAATCACTCTTTAGTGACCATCTTAAGTATAGTGTTATTATTAAATATAAATACATCATGGTTTGTACAAGATCAATCAAAATATCGACTCAAACCCGAAAGCTGCTAGGATCAGCCTATACATATATCATTGCAAACTAGATCTTATTTAAAAAGATTATATTAAGCCAGATACAAATAAACTAAAGAGAGAATCCCTTCTATAAAACTAAAACATGAACAAACCTCAATTACACAATTTTTATTTTATTAATCTCGTGACGGTGAAACTTTTCCAAATTTTAAGGAACAGTGGGAGTATAAGACTATCATTGTTTTCTTCCTAAAATAAGACTTATTCACTCCTAAAGGGGAAGTTTTACACTTTTATTAGGATCGAATAAGTTCTATTTCAGGAATAATACATATGTAGTCTTATTTGTGCATTTTGTCTAAGTTTTAGTCCTACTTAAAGCAATTTCTATAAACTAAGCATAAGCCGTTACTTAATTTATTTATATATAGCTAGTAATAGTAATTCAATTTGATCATATCCAATTCTTTAAATTTACCCCGGTCCATTAATAAATGATGATGTAGTTATGTTGTTGAGAAGATGTTAGTTTTTCATTATATAGAAGTCGGTGATTGTTGTAATAAATAATTAATTAAAGCTCTTCAAATTTAATTCAAAAGTTCAAACATGTAATGCTATTGCTAATTGCTGTCTATCTTTTATTGAAAAATGCCGTTATGCTAAAGTTACGTATATGCAACCCAAGAAACATAATCCGTATATAGAAATTTTTATGATTATAGATTAATATTTACACGTTTCACAAATTAACTCAAAATGCAATCTCCCATTTCAAGACCGTTTATGTAATTAAAAAGAATGTATATGGAAATGTTTCTCGAATAATCAATATTGCCTTTTTTGTACAACGGAAATAAATAAAAATAATTAGTGCGTATTTCTGAAACTTTGGTTTTCAAGGTTTTTCTTTTGGAGATGGAAAATAGTGTTTTTTCCTTTTAATGGATTTTTATGCGATTTATTCTTAGCAACATCATCATTGTGCTATCGCAATGCTTTGCTAGAAATGAGTTATATTTTGTATTTAATTACGTATAATAATTTCTAAAGTTGAGCTTGTAGAACATATTTGTAATTGGTCATCAAACATAGTTACATGAAAAATATGTATATCTGTGTGTATGTGCGCATATATATATCAAACAAATCCTACATATATGAAAAACTCATTTAAGAATATATCATCATGTTCTCTTACATAGTACAGTATTACTTACGCATTCCCCCATAATTTGTATCCTATATTTTTATAAAATATTATTTTTCTAAACGTTTTATATTTCCCATTCGTATCAAATTTTATTATATTTTTATTTTTATTTTATGCTTTTATAGAACTTTCAATATGTATATATATAACTTCTGAATATATATATATATATATATATATATATATATATATATATATCTTAATTATTAAAACCAATTTAACTATTTGTAAAGAGAATTTAACTTTTTTGCCAATCAATCTTGAAGCACTAAGTGGCAAATCATTTTTTGGCAGAAGAATTATATTTCATGTGTAAAACTTCAAATTATATTAACACACTCTTTATTAAGCCCTACCCTGACATTTTATCCTACTCACATAGAAATAGATATATGTGAGGATAAGAAAAAGTTTTAATGTATTAGTGTGAAGGAGTTTATTTTTACATTAACAAACACTCACAAAAGTGAAAGGCATTGTTCTTACTACTACATTGCACATTGTTTTATTTGTAAGTTATTTAAAAAATTGATGGTATTGAAAAACCTCTCAAACAGGACCAAAAGTTGCTACGGAATGAGACATGTGCTACATGTATTTGGGACTATATACTCGTACTTAATTTTTAAAAGATTGTAACTCAGGACGAAACGGGCCGGTTCTTTAAGAGAACCATCCCAAAACCGTCCTAACGTTCACCCTTACTTTATATAGCCTACTAAAACTCTCCCAAATTATAACAGTTGGTACTTCAGACCCAATAATATATCCTATTTATTAAAAATCTCCCAAAGTTTGCTACATCGAACCGAGTTAATCTAAACAAAATACGAAATTAGGTTTTAATACGATGACACATTGCTTCAAACGGTGTTAATCCGAATCAAATCAAAATTGAGTAAAGATAATTTGTGATGAATCAATACCATGATATTGCATTCACGTATCCGATACATATTTGATATTGATACTCACATATACACGTATTGTACGTATCATGAACATATCCATATAATTTTATGAAAGTATTGGACCAAATCGTTTAAAAACAAAAACTTTTGATGGTTGTATTCATATATACATATCGACACACACGCGTACTGAAACAATACATATATACATGCATTGGAGAATTGAAGATATATGATATATACTTGGAACTACCAATCTTCTCATCAATGAGCTAAATTTATTAAAGAATATATTTATAATTATAAACTATTAAAACATATCGAGTATATGTTACTCAACTTTAAAGTATTAAGTTTGATTATCTAAGTAATTAACACTCTTAAATAACAATTTAATCATCAAATATTAAAAATAATGCATCTGATCAATAACATCATAGTTATAATCAATAACCTATTATACTACATATCCACCAAAACAATTTCTTAAAGTATACTCGAATTAATATATTTAATTATTGCTTAAATAATCTTGTCATTTTATAATAAGAACCTTTAAATTAGAATTTGGTACTCCCTCCCCGTAGAAATATATAGCATTATATTTCGGTTTTGCTGATCTCAATTAGAAAACTATTACTCCGGACTTCATTTCGTTAATCAATTATTACTTCACTTCGTAGGTTGCTTGAAGTTCCGCTATGTTTCTCTCCGGAAACCATTCGGCGGTGGACGGCAACTCCACAAGTTCAAGAAAGGAAGCCGGTGAAGAAGAAGATGACAAGAAAAGTTCCGAGAAAGACAATTACGAGGTTTTACTTTCTTCGTTGAAGGTGCGACTGCAAAATAATGTTGTCATAAACAAAAATGTGGTTCTTGACGGCCTGGAGGATGAAGGAAAAGAAGAAGGGTGTAAAACCCCGACCTCGCCGGAGTACAAACTTCCGGTGGCTTCACCGGCTTGCCCACCAGCTCCGACGAAGCCCAAGACAATGCCGGGAAGGAGAAGAGGAGGGTATATTCGTCACAAGAGGGGTTTTCTTGATTTTTCATCAGCCGAAACGGACCCTTTGTTTCCTCCCCCTATTCTTGAAATGGAGACAGTAAAGAAAATCAGGGAGAGCTAGCTCAGATCGCATTTTATACAGTTTAATTACAATTTATAATTAAGGATCAGTTTTTAGGAAAAGGGTATTTGAAATTACAAAATATTGTATCCGCCTTTATTTTAATTTCTTGCATCTTTTATTAGAAATATATACATTGACGAGTTGACTATATATTTTTAATCTTTCTGCATGTTTTAAAAAAACTTAAAATTTGACTAGAGAAATTAACAAGATGCAGATCTGGTCCTGTCCAAGACTCTAAGGCCGCAAAAGGTGCAAATTCAAATTCATAGTATAAATTAAAGATATCTAATTTCAGTTGCTATATTAATTCTTCCGTTTTTATCTTTCTGGAATTGCTTTGTTTGGTGGAGTTAAAAATATACTCCATCCGTCCCGAAAAGGTTTGCCAAATTGATTTTTCTTGATCAATGACAATCAATTTTGAATAATGATATATTTTAATACGAAATTATTTTGAATATGAAACTTATATCAAATTGTTCTTTATTCAAAATATTTTTCATAAAAGCATAAAATTTATGAATTATATACAAATATAATAATAAAAATCATTGTCCAAATTTTGTCATCATTGACCAAGAAAAGTCAATCTGATAAACCTTTTCGGGAAGGAGGTAGTAACAAGTAAAGCATGGATCGGATCAGATCATGTTCAGGATTAGTGCTAATGATGCTTTAATTTATTCCCAAAGCATGTATAATGTCTAAGAGGTCGGTCAGAAATCTCATCTCGTCACGTAGAATTTATTCCCAAAATTGGTTTAATCAATGACAGTGATGAGGACTAAAACATTTTCACCTTGATGATAATCCCCATTATTAAACATCCTTTTCTAGGCAAAATAAACTTGTGCTTTTCTAATTAAACGTTTTTTTTAGTACGAAAATAGCATATCTTACAACCAATTAAGGATGTACTTTTTTATTTGGCAAGCATCATTTCTTCTTGGGACAATGCTTCAAATAGGATTAAAACTCATCCATTTTTCAAAAATAGGATTAAATAGTTAAACTTTCATAAATATGATTTTTATTTGAGATTGGACAAAGATACTCATATAAGGTTGGGGCTGCTACATCCAGGTTTGCCCACATTGACGGACCGCCGCCTGTCACAAGATTTTTTACACCTAAATTCCTACATTGATCGGCTAGATTTTTCGCCACCACTATCAGAGTTTATTTACTGTCACTATCACCAACTAATTTGACGCCAATAGACTGACATTGGCTATGCAGAGAACTAGGGGACAATCAATTAATTACGTTAGTGGTAGAACGAAATAATTAGTCTTATTTAAGGAAAACCAAATATATGGCCTTATTTTTTTTGGCAAAACAAACACAATCTAACTATACTCAAATAAATCGTTCGTCATCTGGATGACAATACAATCAGAAATAAAATCAAAACTGCTATCATGGTCTGGTAATAACACGCCTCGCCTAGTTAACACATGGGTAACACGGTTGGCAGATCTTTTACAATAAGAGAGACTAAACTTTCTCTGTGATTTCAATAAACCTCTGATATCCTCCAATAATAAATCAAATAAGAACACCCATGAACACCTCTGAAGCCATTTACAACCAGTTGAGCATCTGACTCAAACTCCACACACTCTCATCCTTCGCTAATCGCCGCTACCATCGCAGCCGCACACCCAAAGCTTGGCCTCAGGCAGACTCCAATCCCCCCTTCTGGAACTACTCGATGCCTTTATGAAATCTCCATTATCTGTCTTGACAATCCAACTCCATGCTCTCACACCTCATATCTCATTCACTGCAGCATCAATGTTCACTTTGATGTATCCCACATGTGGCTTCCTCCATCTATCCAAGTACACTGCATGCTGATGTGCAGCCTTTGCCGCCCCTTTATAAACAATCTCCTAAGAATTCAAGATCCCATCCGCACTCCGAACCACCTCCGAGCTAGTTTGATTTTCATTCTTCCAAACCACACTATTTCTCCTCTTCCACGGGCTCCACAAATAGCTTAAACGCCCTCAAGTTCTGTCCATGCCATCTGCCATATTTCCTTTTATCCATGCCTCAAAATCATCATTGGCCTATTTGTACTCAGCCTTATACCCACCAAATTTGTGTTCACTTTTATACTCATCATATTTGTGCAATACTTTTTTTGTGAATTTTGTTCACAGACAAAATATGTCTTATTTTGTCTGTGCAAATTTTGAACAGACAAAATAAGACATATTTTGTTTGTGAAGTGGATTCACAAACATAAAAAACTTTCACAAACATGATGGACATAAGGTGTATATAAGAATGAGTACCGGTGGGCGTAGCTCAACTGGTAGCAAGGGAGTGCCACAAGGGTTAAGTCCTGGGACAGAGCACTACCCTCTATCTGTCAGATTGGGATTATAGTCCAATTTACATCCTTCTAACGTACCGTCCGGTCGGGGTTGGGGGCCCCTCAGGGGTTGTGTGTCATCCTTTTTTTATATAAGAATCAGTACAACAAGAATGATATGATTGATTGACTGATTGACCACTTGGCCGCATTGGCTATTGTACCATGGGAGGGATTTCAGTTTGCCGCTGACTTTGTGGGCAAATTATACCGTGCAACCGACGCACCATGAGGATGGTGCGCCCGGTTGCAAAACGACGCAGCATGCTGCTATTTTTTTTTTTTTACTTTTGTTGTTAAAAAATGATAATAACTTTTTTATTTTTGATCCGATTTTTATAAAATTTATATTAACATTTTTTATTTTTCATGATTTTTCAAATGAGACCAATATTGCTTATGTAATTTTAAGAAATTATCGAACTATTATATTAATGAGTATTGGATTATAAGGAAAATCGAATCTGTTTGGGAGATGATAGGTTCGTGAAATAGAAGATCGAATCTATTTGGGAGTGGATCAGTGGTCTCAGTTACATTTGATAATACATTGAGTTACATCTTTTTATGAGCGAGTTACATCTTTTTATAAGCAAGTTACATCTTTTTATAAGCGAGTTACATCTTTTTATAAGCAAGTTACATCTTTTTATAAGCGAGTTACATATATATACACACGAGTTGCATTTGACATGCCTGAACGCGATTTACATATATTTACACGTAAAGTTACATATTTTTACAACGTAAAGTTACATATTTATACTGCCGAGTTACATATTTATACACACGAGTTGCATTTGACCTGTCTGAACGCGAGTTACATATTTTTTTACGTAAAGTTACATATTGTTACACGTAGAGATACATATTTATACACACGAGTTGCATTTGACCTGACTGAACGTGAGTTACATATTTTAACACGTAAAGTTACATATTTTACACGCAAATGTTAATATGTTAAAATTACATAGGCAAAATTGGTCTCATTTGAAAGATCATGAAAAATAAAAAATGTTGATATAAATTTTATAAAAATCGGATCAAAAATAAAAAAGTTATTACCATTTTTAAAAAAAGAGAAAATAATATTCAATGGGTGCATGGTGTTCACCATGCACCCGTTGCACGGTATAGGCACTCGACTTTGTGCGGGACTGATGCATTGCAATACCGGGCCTTTTTACTGCTGGGCCGACCCGGAAATTAAGGGAAACCCCAGCTGGAAACTGGGCGCAACTGATAAACAACTGGGCTGGCTTCGGTTGGTGGGCTCTTCTTTGGGCTGATTTCATGGCTTTGGACAGATAGGGGAATGGACATTGGCTTTTTCGGCACCCTGGATGCTGCACGTTTGGGGACTTTGAGCTGGGTCTGAGTCTTTAATGAGCTCATGGCCCAGCAGCTTGATTTTTAACCAGGGAGGTTTTTATTAGTTCTGAAATGGTGGTGGACTTTTAAGAACTGTTTGGACTGTTTTTAGTAACGGGGGTGGGATATTGGGTTGATTTCACCGAACCAAATCGTACTAAACCGAATGGAATAAAAGCGAATAATAGTATCAATTTTATTGGTAATAAATCTCTCAATCTATTCTAAATCGAACTGAACTGAAACTTGTAAAAATCGAACGAAAAACAGATACGTCCACCACTACTTTTTATGATTCTCAGTTGGGAGAGCTGTCTCAAGCCATATTTTTAATTAAAATCTTTGTCTCTCCCAGCATAACACCGAAAAGTGGGGAATGTAAACCGTTAAATGTTGTTTTGGCAAATTATATCGTGGGATCGGCCCACCTTGCGCATGGTGTGCCGATCCCACTATTAGTTATTTGAACGTACTTTTACTTCCCTCGAACATCTCACCTCATTTTTCCTTTGCTTCACTACTACATTTTTAGACCTAATGTAACATTAGAGATGTAACATATCTATAATAGTGTTACCTATTTCTCTAATGTAACACTTTTTTGACCTAGTGTAACACTTTCTAGAAGTATAAGTGTTACATTAGGTACTATAAAGTGTTAGAATAGGTCAAATGCAACACCAACAAATGTAATGGTAAAACAATGTTACATTTTCTCTGAAAAGTGTTACATTAGAGAAAATGTAACATTTTTTTACCATTACATTTGCTGGTGTTGCATTTGACCTATTGTAACACTTTATAGTACCTAATGTAACACTTATACTTCTAGAAAGTGTTACACTAGGTCTAAAAAGTGTTACATCAGAGAAATAGGTAACACTATTATAGATATGTTACATCATTAATGTTACATTAGGTCTAAAAATGTAGTAGTGCTTTGTAACACCCCTAAATTTCCCGCCCAAAACATTGATATATTTAAAAGAAATATTTTATTCATTCATCAAAGAGTTGAAGAAATACAGCGGAAGTCTAAAAGGGAAATGAGTGTTACCGCCACATTCGGTCATCTCTTAACCGAATGCACAGGCAACTCAAAGTAAAACAATAAAAACTAATGTAATAATAAGTAAATGATTGTTTTATGACTAGATTTAACTAAGGCATCTTCTAATTCGCATTCAAGCTCGAGCAATCCGTCAATCCACATAGGTATCCAACTCATCACCTGATAAAATTTAATGGAGAAGAGAGAGACAAGAAAAATAACAAAAATTAGCTTTAGAGCTAAGTAAGTACTACCCAACCCCGTAAAATAATCAGGTTTGA